ATCTTTAGGTATAAGTTATAACTTTAAGCTAGTTGAAAAGTCATGCAGAGTCGGACAATTGACTACTGCGTAGGACTTCGCCATGTTAAAATAGTCAGTTGGCTCCATTAAAAATAATCCAAGAATCAACCATAACTAGTTGTTGAAAAAGTCGGCTTTTAATGCATTTAAAGTTAGTTGAGTTGCTGGTAGGGAGCTAACATACTAACAAACACAATCTCAACGTTTTTGTTTTTATCATGCGTCTGCATGCAAAAGCACTATTTTTTTTACGAAATTTTCATTTATTACCCTGCCAGCAATTTTGTAGTCGACTACGAGAAAAATTCACTTCTAGTTTACTTTTACAGACTGACTATAAGCTAACTACAATGTAATGCAGAGCTGTCCCAAAATTTTGTATTTGGCAACGTAAAGAACCGACTTTTAAATACTAACTACAAGCTAACTATATTGTAATGCAGAAGTGCCTCAAAATTATCTGGAGAGAATTAATTTTATTTCAACATGTTTTCTCTTGTTTCTCTATTATTATGATTTTATTTGTTAACTTTAGTAGACTGACTATAAACGAACAACAATGTAATGCAGAAATGTTCCAAAATTTGGTATTTATTAACGTAAACAACCGACTTTTAAAGACTAGCTACAAGCTAACTATCATATAATGCGGGAGTACCCCAAAATTATCTGGAGAGCATTTTGTTTCGACATGTTATCTCTTGTATCTTTATTATTTGCAATTTTGTTTTACATTTTTGTCATTTTCTTGTATACGTTGTGAAATTAGAGTCAGTAAATTGGAAAAATTAATTATAAATGGTTAAATATTTCAAAACTCGGTCCCTAAATTCTAAATTCTGCTGATTAATACTGTAAACAAAGAATAAATACTGTAAATATAATACATTAACAGTTAACATTACACATAACATTTTAAAATTTATTTTAGATTTGGATCAATGGGAATCATGGAAATAATGAACAAATCATTCATAATTTTATGGATACCGGTGTTATTATTAGTCTCCCTGCAGAAAACTGATGTCTATTAATTTTAACGAACTAATATCATAACTTGTGTTAAAGCGAAATGTAATTTAGATAACTAGTAGTTAAATTTTAAATATATTTAATTAAAATGTAATTAATTAATACAGTAGGGAATACAAAAGAAAACTATTACTTGACATTTCTGCAATTAACTTTAAGTTAGTTAATAAAGTGTTACCTTTAAGCTAATTTTTTAGTAACTAACTTTAAGCTAGTTGAAAAGTCATGCAGAGTCGGACAATTGACTACTGCGTAGGACATCGCCATGTTTAAATAGTCAGTTGGCTCCATTAAAAATAATCGAAGAATCAACCATAACTAGTTGATGAAAAAGTCGGCTTTTAATGCATTTAAAGTTAGTTGAGTTGCTGGCAGGGTACATACACATCTTTTTAACCCAGCAAAAATAAATAGAAGTACATACTTCCAAAAGAAGAACATTTATCACCACTTCTAAAGTAGTGTTTAAAAACTTCCGAAGAAGCAAAAATAATATTTTTTTTCAATTCTGAAGATATATTTTTTGTTGTTCTTACATTTTTATGAGTTAAAAAATGTTATTTTTGGGATTTTGTATTAAATGTGTCTATTTCCCCCATTAATGTTAATATTTTTTAAGTCAAATTAATTGTATTCTATAATACTACAATGACACACCCAAATAACTTCCAAAAACGAACATACAAATTACTTCTTGAGAATGACTTCAGAAGTGGCGAATTTGGAATCAAATAAAAAGAATTTCCTGGAGTAAATTCTACTTCTTTTTCGCTTCTTTGGATGTATTTTTTTTGATGGGAATCTCTCAAAAAATCATTTCATTCACATTCATTCATTTCATAAACAAGAAAAATATTTCAGTTAAAATATTATTTTTTTTTTTCACATATGCCCCATGGATCCCAATAAGTGACCACAAAGCTTTTAAAAGAACCCAGCAAAAAAAGTGAGGAAAAAGAAGTAGAATTTTCACCACAAATAACATACTTGAAGTACTTCCAATTTTGGTGAAAAACCTATGAATTTTACATTAGCGTGTCATTGGAGGGATGTTGTTCATTTTTGACAACTTAAACTACATCTAATCTTATTCATAGATGCAGTAAAAATCCGATATTTGGATGTCAAAAATAAAACACATTCTTTCAATGACACGCTTATGTAAATTTCATTGGTTTTTCACCAAAATTTGATGTACTTCAAATATGTTATTTGTAGTGACTTTTCAACATCTCTTTCCTCACTTTTAACTCGGTTTTTATTTGTAAGGAAATATTTGGTTTGTAGAAGCTAAAAATATGCAATCGCATTTTTAGATGTGATTAAGATGTCGTTTGTAAAGTATGACATCAATTATTTTTTGCTGGGAAATGTGAAATTAATTGTATTCTATAATACTACAATGACACATCCAAATAACTTCCAAAAAAGAACATACAAATTACTTCTTGAGAATGACTTCAGAAGTGGTGAATTTGGAATGAAATAAAAAGTACTTCCTGGAGTAAATTCTACTTATTTTTCGCTTCTTTGGATGTATCTTTTTTTGATGGGAATCTCTCAAAAAAATCATTTCATTCACTCCACAAACTGTGATAAACAAGAAAAATATTTCAACTCCAAAAGCTAATTTTTTCAGTTAAAATATTATTTTTTTTCACATATGCCCCATGGATCCCATTAAGTGACCACAAAGCTTTTAAAAGAAATGGTCTAATTTTTTTTTTTTTTTGAGTAAAAAAAATACAACAAAAAGGTCCATTTTGAAAAAATAGGGGAAAATTAAGTGCAAAATATTGAAAAAAAATATTCTTGAGTTAAATTTTTTATAGATATTCCACTTGCATTATGGGACTATAAAGCCCTTCAAGCAAATTGTATAAGCTTTCTTATAACAAAAAAAGGGCCCATTTTGAAAAAAATTAAAAAAAAAAATATTTTAAAAATATTAAATTTTTAAAAAATTAAAAAAAAAATTGGAAAGAATGAAGAAATAGCTATCTGAACTACTTTGGACAATTTTTACTAGGACCAATAGGTGAAAAGTTACACTCATTTGAATAAAATCCACTAAGAGCGGGTTTTTGAGATTGTAATCAAATGCCAATTAATAATCAGATTAGTTAATCTAAAAATAAATTTAATATTATGTTAATCTCCTTTGATGTTTTTGAGTACAACTTCGCAGTGTTGCCATACAAAACAACAGAAAACTTCACTGATTGTTATCAAAACAATGCATATTTTATAAAAAGAAGAAGACAATTGTAAATTTAATATGAAAATTAATGAAAACTTAAATTAAAAACAAAAAAATGTATTTTGGAGTGTCCATAATATATACTAATCAATAAATAAAACATTTTAATGTTTATAGTTATAAATATTTTATTAATTTTTTTGCATCAGCTGTTTACACTTTTGCATTTCGTGCTTAAGATTAAACCACCTCCATTGGGCGCATAAACTTGCAAACAAAATTAACTAATTGAGTACTCAAAAACATCTTTCGAGGATTAATTTTAATTTAATCGCTAATCTTTCACCTAAAGATTGGCTCTAAGTGACCACAAAGCTTTTAAAAGAAATGGTCTAATCTTTTTTTTGAGTAAAAAAAAATAAAACAAAAAGGTCCATTTTGAAAAAATAGGGGAAAATTAAGTGCAAAATATTGAAAAAGAATTATTCTTGAGTTAAAAATTTTTTTTTTGATAGATATCCCACATCCCATTATGGGACTATGAAGCCCTTCAAGCAAATTGTATAAGCTTTCTTATAACAAAAAAAGGGCCCATTTTGAAAAAAATTAAAAAAAAATTATTTAAAAAATATTAAATTTTTAAAAAATTAAAAAAAGATTTTGGAAAGAATGAAGAAATAGCTATATTTGAAGAAGCTAAAACAAAATCGATCGGAATAATAATACGGAATTGAAACCATTCCGATCGAAATGTGTGACAGAACTGATAGCACAAGTTTACAAATTAATATTTTTTGTTTGCTCATGGAATAAAACATATATTTTTGGAAAGGGCTACGTCCGGTTGTTAATTAACAATTTTTATTTTTTTCCTATACGTCGAAATTTTTAAATAAAGTGGTTTTTGTTAAGCATCCTTCTTCAGTAGTGATGGAAAAACATTTGAAAATGAGAATGGATTTTAGGGAGCTTACACCTGTTTTGGGAACCTAACAATCAACTAAGAAAAAATTCAATAATATAAAACTTACGTCTTATAATTATTCCACTTTTTATCAGATTTTTTTTATTTTTGGCCCGATTTTAAGTAATTTTTTGATATTTTCTTTTTTAAATTAAAAAATAAATAAAATTAAAAAAAATTATTGACATTTTATTCCTGAATTAGAAACTTACTAAATTTATCCCTCATAGTTCATTTCTTACATTCCCACTTATACTTTTTCCGAAAAACTCTTGGAAGTGTGTGTGATAAAAATTGTGTATATTCACCAAGATTTAAGTTTATTGCAACGTAATTTTTAATATTTTTGTGACAGGAATCCATTGTTACAGAGTTGTGAAAAAGACCAGTAAAATTTTTTGTATACCAAATAACTACATCCCTAAATATTTAATTTTGTCCTCCTAATTTAACCCTTTTTTAGCATTATCTTTCTTTATGAAAAATTCAAAAATTTTACGTCCTAGATTTTTTTAATATTTTTTCTGGACTTAGACGCAAAATAAAGAAATCCATATAGGTTTTATATCATGAGCAAAATCGCTGTAAACTAGTGTAATTATCGAAAAAGATCACATTTTGTATTTACTAGAGTTTCTCATTTCCCAGACTATTTGTAAACCATTGAATTAATTTCTAAAAATTTTACATGAATTTCCCGGGAAATTTTTACAAAGGATTTTATCTTCCTCAAGTAGCTTACAATAATACTTTAAATAAATTTAAATAAAATTGAATTATTACCCTTGTTAATGATGAAACACTGCCTTTCTCATATTTCTCCATCATTTGTTGTATGCTATTTTTGGGCACTCCGTGGAGATTTTTTTGCGCCAATATGCTAGTAGAATGCCGCCATGAAGTTTTAGGTTCTAGTATCTCAATTAAGTAATTATTTTGTACTCCAAACTTAACGTATGGCAGCATTTCCCACAGCTGCACGTTTGTGTTGTCGACAATAATAGGACTTAGTCCGGATTTGGTTTTATCCCTTACTCTCTGTTGATTAAATTCATGTGCTTCGGGTAGAAAAGCAGAATTGAATTTGTAAACACCTTTAGCGTTATAAAAATAATCATCTGAACTACAAATAAAATCGCCGACATCATAACCACTATTCTCAAGATCTACTGAATTAATGACAAGAGATCGGGCCAAATGAGTTTTTCCCACACCAGGCGGACCTCGCATTAGCACCATTACACGATATCCCTTCTTAATCAAGGATGCAATACGTTCTTCGTCTTTGTTAGAATTACATTTTCCAACATCTTTTCTTACTACTTTAGAACGTTGCTGATGTTGTCGCCTCATTGTTGTTTCTTCAAAATCACACGTTGCATTACTGACCGCCATGCTCATCAACTGATCAATACAAGAATTTACTAAAGAACGATATCAGAAGCAAAATGTATTGCAATTTAATTTATTCACTTGTATAGATAGTATTATCAGAAAGATTTGCTTACTTACAGTTCCAGTTGTTTGCTTTGCAAACCTCTCGCAATCGCCAATGTGGCATTGAGGGAAACATATCTTTCAGTTGTCGCAAAATGCGATTTTGTTCAGGGTTCTCTTCATATTTCGCATACATTTCAAAAGCTTTTCCTGATAATAAAAATGTAAATAAAATATTTCTTCTTCTACGTCTTACTTTTTGGCGCCCCTTTATGGAATATGTTTTCTTTGTGAACTCTTAGTAATTGCTGTGTAATTTATTTAAAGTATTTATATAACTAAACTTGAATATCAGTAAATATTGTTAAATATCTTTGGAACATCCTTAAAGTTACAGTTTTAATATTAAAAGCGATAATTGGTGGAGCTATTATAAAACACACAAAAAGTTAGATTATTTTATTTATACAATAGTAGATGTTTTTTCGTTCCTCTACAGAGCCCTGCGCCGACAAATATTAACGGCGGCGGCGACTGACACTAAATATGTCGGCGGCGGCTTAAAATCGACTGTAAGCCGGCTAAGTTTTCAACTACATTTAGTTTTTAAATTTTCAACAATTTTAAATAAAAACGGAATCCGAGAGATCAGAAAGTGGGATTTCGGAAGCAAATATATTGTTTATAACAACAAAACAGATCAAGCTCAAAAGTTGTGTGAGAAATTATGCAGGGATGAATAAAAAATTCTTAAAAATTAAAAACAAATCCTTTCTCCAAGTTTTACGAGGATCTGCCGATATTTAACCCTATCCTCCATATAAAACGTAAAAACAAAGATATTTTATTTGTTTATTTACTAGCTATACCCAGTGTGCTGTGCTACCCTAAAAGCAATATAAATAAGAAATCCAGTTAACGATTTTGATGATTCCAACTACAATGGTTTTCCAGATATACAATTTGTTACATATGGGAGATTCCACGCAAATTATTGCAATTTCTCTAAATGTTCTTCAGTAAAATTTGAAGATTCTAGCTCTAATAGTTTCTCAGATATACGAATTTTTCTACTTAATTCATATGGGAGCTCCAAGCCCCCCAGATGAAAGTCCGCCCTTTTTTCTCCAAAATGTTCAGATGAATATTAAAGTTCTTCGTGCAAAATTTGAAGAATTTAGTTCTATTAGTTTCCCAGATAAACGAATTTTTGTATTTAATTTATATGGGAGGTTCCGCTCCCCTCATTGGTAGTCCCCCAATTTATTACCCAAAATGTTTACATGGATGTTAAAGTTCTTCCAGAACAACATCATTTAAAGGGATGACAAAGAGATTGAAAAATATTCCAAAAGTTTCACTTTGAAAACATTATTAGAGTGTATGAAAACTCGCAACTCTAAAGGCAGACTATTCCTATTTTAGCGGTAATTTCTTTATGATTAAAATAAGTAAGGAGTAAGTGTTATATTCGGCAAATCATTTGTCGTAAAAAAGCAAATTTCGGAAGTGGTCATATACATATATATATGGACTTTGATCATTAAATTAATAAGAACGTAACCGTGATTTTCGGATTAGAGACTTAAATGTGGAATTGGGTCAATTATGGACAAAGTTCTCTATAATTTAAAGTATTTTTTTTAATTCTACCATAAATCTATCATAATGATAACTTTTGGAATGATGTATTAGCTGTAAACTGATTTTCTGTAAGTGTTATATTGGCGGACCGATACTCAAAATTTTATTTTTCATAAATGTAGGTTTCGGTTCCTAAAAATGTTTTTTTCTTCGACATCGACAAAGCCATTTATGTGCGTTTAAGTCATTTTCTGAAGAAGATTTCATATACATATTTACATTACATATTTTCGTTCCAACAAAGTACGTAGAAAACGTTAAAATCAATTATTGAAGGGGGCAGGGTCAATTATGGCCTATAGAGATTTCGATTGATATCGAGCCCTTTTTGCAAAATGGACGTAAGCGAGATAAATTTTCGTTCAATTAGGATACTGCGCATTTAATTTTATGTTTATATATTCAATATTTTAGAAAATTCAAAAAGTACCAGTTAAAGAATGAAAAATTACCAGAAATACTCCAGTTTAAATTTTCATTCACTCAAGTCCCTGATTGCTTAGTTTTATATTTTTAGACTCATTATAATAGAAAATTCAAATAGTACCAGTTGAAGAACAAAAAAGTACCAAAAAGTCCCGTTTTATATGTTCTAACTTACTCCATGCCCTACAGGTTTTATTTCATGTCTATAGGTTCAATATTATAAAAAATTCAAAAAGTACCAGTCGAAGAACGAAAAAGTACCAAAAAGCCCCCTTTTATATGTTATCACTTAATCCGGGCTGTACATTCTTAATTTCATGTTTCTAGGTTCAATATTATAAAAAATTCAAAAAGTACCAGTCGAAGAACGAAAAAGTACTAAAAAGTCCCTTTTTATAGATTACTCCGGGCTCTACATATTTATTTTAATGTTTCTATGTTCAATTTTATGTAAAACTCAAAAAGTACCAGTCGAAGTACGATAAAGTTCCCCTTTTATAGATTCTCATTTACTCCAGGCTCTAAGTGCTTAATTTCATGTTTCGAGGTTCAAATTTTGTAGCAAGTTCAAAAAGTACCAGTCAAAGAACGAAAAAGTACCAAAAAGTGCCATTTAATAGATTCTCATTTACTCTGGGCTCTACGTGCATAATTTCATGTTTCTATGTTCAATTTAATAGAAAACTCAAAAAATACCTTTTGAAGAACGAAAAAATACCAAAAAGTCCCCTTTAATAGGACCTCACTTAATCCGGGCTCTACATGCTTAATTTCACGTTTCTAGGTTCCATATTATACAAAAACTTAAAATGTACCTTTTGAAGAAGCAGGTTCTCACTTAATCGGAGCTCTACACGCTTTCATGTTTCTTATTATAGAAAATTCAAAAAGTTCCTTTTGAAGAACGAAAAAGTACCAAAAAGTCCATATTTATAGATTCTCAAGTACTTAATTACATGTTTCTAAGTCAAAAAAGTACCAGTCGAAGTACGATAAAGTACCAATAAGTCCCATTTTATAGATTCTCATTTACTCCGGACTTTACTTGCTTAATTTCATGTTTCTAGGTTAAATTTTATAGAAAACTCAAAAAGTACCTTTGTAAAACCAAAAAGTTCCGAAAAGTCCCTTAATTATTAATTTCATGTTTCGATTTCAATATCATAGAATACTCAAAAAGTACCAGTTGGAGAATGAAAAAGTACCAAAAAATATCACTTGGTACCGGTGTTCCAAGTAACACCCCATTAGCTTATTTAGTGTTTCTTGAATAAAATCAAATTTCCCGTTTTTACCCCTTTTGGTACTTTTTTCCTCCCCATTAACGAAATAAAAATTCTCTTCCAAAAAGTTGCAAAATCGTATTGGGAGCCCGTTATTATGTATTCATATGTATAAGTTAATAAAGTAAAAACAATGTTTCATAAAAAAGTACCAAAAATAGGTAAAATTTTCACCCCTTAAACGTCCGAATATCCAAAAAGTACTAAATTCCTATTTTTATTTGTTCGTCATGTTATGAAGGATTCAAAAATATTTTTTAATGTTCTCTGGTTTAAAAGATACATGGGGTGCAAAAGAAGTACCAAATTACAGTTTTTACCCGTTTATTCCTCAAAGGGGCCGAATTTGAAAAAATTACAGGACACCTGTCCGCTTTTTTTTAAATGAACGACGATAAGCTTTAACTGTTTTTGTAACTTTTCTAGTTTAGGAGATTTGAGGTTACCGAATTTACGTTTTTACCCTTTTTTAACCCCCAAAAAAATCGAATTTCCAAAAATCCCGTCTAATTGGATACATTTGGTGGGAGACTAACATCCTGCCCAAATTTCAGCTCAAAGAGCTTAAACTGTTTAGGCTCTACGATGATGAATCAGTCAGTCAGTCAGTAACGTTAGAATTTTATATACGTATGTACAGTGCCTCACATAAGTATTCGAATTTGGTTGTACTTTGAAAAGAAACATAATTTAATAATATTTTTGCGTGTGAAATGAAAAATTAAATTTGTTATATTGTCTTGAAAGGCCTAAGGTTAAATATCGCACTCTGTTAAATTTGGAAAAATTACATTTACTTAAATTAATTTAACTTTTTTTTAAAAAGTCCGTAAAATTGATTCACAAAAGTATTTGTATTTCATATTTGACCTTATTTTACGAAACAAAAAATTAGAATCAAATGGTTTTTTGCTTAAAATTGTTTTAAGGGGTTACTATGAACCGAAATTATATATTTTTAGCCCTTTTGCTCCACAATTTTGGAGCATTTGTATCATCTTTTCATGCAATATCATTAAAATTACAATTTTTACCCGATTTGCAATTTTTTCCGCTTTTCTGGAAATAAAACCAAAAATTAATATTGGGATTTAATAAAGACCCCTTGAGGTATCTAAAAATAATAGTTTTTTTTATAAGGATCTGCACTTAAACTTTCCAAGACGTATTTTTGGTATCGTTCTTCTGTTTCTAATTGAATTATCTGAATCTTAAGTCCCTTTTAGTACAACTAAGGTCAATATTTTCGACAAAGTTGACTAGTATATATTCATGTAGATATTACCAATAAAATATTTTAAATTTTCAATACATTATAGCAGTATACAACTCCAAAACATGATTTCAGTTTTTAATTAACATTCGCGCTTATATTGCCCATTACAATAACACTGTAATTCCAAAATTTTGGGTTTATTTTGATCATAGTAACTAATATTTAAACAGATATCAATATTTTTGAGTTAGACCATAATGATATGGTGACATGCAGCCTGGAGGCCATTGGTATATAAAAAGAATGATTCTATTATATTGAAAGGAGTTATACACATCCACAATACATTGAAAACTTAAAATGTATAAAAGCTGATATCAAAAAAATACATACCAGAAAAATTTTTTGACCCTAGTATTATAAAAATAGTCCTAAGTTCCATTATATTGAATTAGTTACAGAAGAATGATCCCAATAATATATCTTGGAACATTTATATACAGATTCTTGTAACAAAAAACATTATTTTTGGATATCCCAAGGGGTCTATTAAATCTCAATACAAAATGTTGGTTTTGTCTCTGGAAAAAAGAAAAAAAAATTGATATTACATGAAAAGAGTGTACAAATCCCCCAAAATTGTGGACCAAATGGGCCAAAAATATTTCCTTTCGGTTGATAGTAACCCGATTTTAAGAATAAAAATAATTCGATTCTAGAATTTGTGTTTCGTATAATATGTTCAAATATGAAATACAGAATAAATTCGTATACTTTTGTGAGGTAGTTTTGTGGACTTTTTTTAAAAAAAGCTAAATAAATTTAAGTAAATGTAAATTTTTCAAGTTTTAAAAAACGATATATCAAACCTAAGGACTGTCTAGACAATATAAAAAATTAATTTATTTATTTTGCATACAAAATATATTATTAAATTTGGTTTCTTT